CCACAGCAATACATAGGTCCATTATCCTCTCCATCTGCAATACAGAAGACCATAATTCCAACCCCCTCCCAGGCAGCTATCAGAACCCTGTGTTCATCCTTCCGACACAAGTGCCCTGTTTGTGTAACCTTTATAGCATCGAACGTCCCTAGTCACTTCAGCTGGTGACGTGCAACATCTTTTAAAACAGTTCAACCGTGCAGAATGACGACTTCTATCGGACGCCCCACGGAGCAGGAGTAGGTGGCATGCGCATGAACTGGTTTGCAGTGGAACATTTGTAATGACTCAATTCCGGATACATGTTGCAGCGCCCAGCCTCTCGCGACTGCTCGTACGTGCGCACCAATTGTAGTCGGACTCTCAGTCAATGCCGGTTGTCGAAACTGGCCCATTATCTCCGTGGCCGACTCAGGCATCACCTCGTTGAAGGCGCAGGACGATTGCCCCACTGTCTCACACGGGTGGACACCACTCTCGCGGCGTCGAACAAGCCCTTGTTAACTCCTATGAACTTTTCCTCCAATAATTCTGTGCAGAATACAACATACTCCCAACTGGCATCCCCATTCTCTTCCTGGTCGGAACTGGGGCTGATGGTCGTTGTGGCTAGGGCCTCCCTATAGCTCTAGCTGTTGCGATATTGATGAACCCAACGTGATACGAACGCAATTTCCAGACTTGTCTGAGCTCAATCACGAATTTTCCCTCTTGACTTCAATTAAAATTTTCCTGCGTCACTTGCTGTGAGCATGATATGCAGAATTTAGTTACCGCCCTCCTGTCATGAAGAGAGATGGAGGTCACCAAACAATCCGACCCACCGAGTCCTGGTCGTGGTTGCGTTCCACTCCAACGGAGCGGTCCCTTCATCAGTGCCAGCATCCTTCCCACTATCCGATACCTTACGTCTATCATCAGCGGTATCGCCTCTCTCAAACCAGCATATACCAACACGGCATAGGCATTTGCTGTCGACGTTCAACTCAACAATCGAACCAACGGCTTCCTCCATCCATCCTATCACCTTGGCTCCTTCCCGCAAGCTGCAGCCACTCACACTGCCGATAACACTATCGTTGATGTGTTTCTCATTTCCTCAAAATAACTATTTTCCCTCTATTCGGATTTGTCACTCGTACTCCGGTCTGGGAAGGAAGCATTTTTTATGGCCCTCGCCGAAAGTGCTAGACGACTGCCCCACCGTCTCGCACTCGTCCCTGCGCCGGACGTACGCTCGTTCGGCTGCCAACTCTCTCCAATCCCTTATATAGTTATTCTATACAGAATACGCTATACTCGCAACTGTCGTCCAACTGCTTCTCTTCCTGCTCGGGACCGAGCGTAAATGTCGTGGTAGCTAGGTGTCTCATTAGGGCTTAAGTTGCTGCGACACATCCACCGCACCCTTTCCTCCCGCACCTGCCCGGCTCTGATGGCAAAACGGTATCAAGACGGACGGAGGCGGTCTCGGACGCACTGCCTGACAAAACGATGCAGCCCTTTTACGAGTGCCACACAGGACCTGGTCCCAGAGAATATACCAGGCATTCACGAGGACGGCTCAGACCTCACATAAGTGCGATACCCATAAAGGTCATCTGAAGCAGCTATTGGGTGTGATCTTCGTATGCACACAAATCTATCTATATTGAAAAAAAACAGGATTCCAAGGAATTTAATTAGAACGAAGTGAATTGGTTCGAAAAAAGATAACTTTTATTGCGTAAATTTTCGAGTCCGCTTCACCAGATTCTCGTCAGGTTAATGGATTGTGTACAAAAAGGCTTTTTAACAAACGATTATGAGGTTAGTTGAGGCTTGAACCAATACGCGTCTAGTGTGCTTCATCGTCCCGTGCGGACTGGCTGCGCTCGTTTGCATTTTTCTTTAATGATTTTTTCATGTGACATCCGAAGAGATACATATGCCTCATCTGAGTGCATTTCCCCAAGGAATTCGCAGTCCTCCTTTATTACGTAGGCGACAACGCGAGTGTTCTCGCAGACAAATTTGGGCCCAGTGGCTGCATGGGCAGCATCGCTAAATGGTCTCTTCATGCCGCCAGATGTTGAGGTAGATTTTTCAGTTTGAACACAATAGATGGCATCACGACTAGCACACAGGATTTTGTAGACAGCGGTAAGGGTATGTTTGTACCGCTATTGCATTTACCTACGTAGATGTTGTTCGATTACACTTCTGATCGTGCACCAGTCAGACCTTGGCTTCGACCTGCTCTACGTGTTTCACCGGCCTGGGCTATTCACCTTGCAATCAACTGCCCCGAGAACCATTATTCTGCTCTTCACCCCGGATGTGTCAGATGTCATGCGAAAGTTTTGTCCGCAATAAAGGGCATCCCAACGGCACCCTATTATCCGCAATCCACCGCCGACAAAGATGTTGGGTCCTGGTAGTCTTTACCAGTCCTGCGTGGCTACCTCCTGTACATGCGTCAGTTAGGTCCAAATTCACCTTGGAAGCATATCAGAGGCAGGGTGTTTCGAAATTACTTTATAACCATGAAAATTCTTACAGCCGAGAGAATTGGCTGCTGCGTACCTCTTCAATCTGGCTTATCTGTTGTCCGGTTGCTGCACGGGGTACACTTCCGCGATGTGGGGTAGGAAGGTTTCCCACGCTTGTTTTAGGCTAGCGGTGTTCGGTCCAAACCATAGACAATATTGCATCTCGTCAATGTCGGCCCAGACAGCTCGGTCTGACACAAGATCTCCTTCATGTAATCTTTTTTCAGACGACTCCAATACGCTTCGCTCTGGCTCCCCCCATGAATGATAGAAAGATTTTCTAAACTTTCCTGATTAGAAAGATGAAGTTCTTTGGGAAACAGCAAAATTTTATTGTGAATTTTCGAGACTGGTTCCCCAGCTCGTCTTCAGACAATGGGTGTGCAAAAACAATTAACTTTTAGCCTGAGTCTAGCAAAAGGAGTCAATGATTGGTTAAGATTGTCATCTCAGGATTGGCTGACTCAGTTTGAATCTGTCCTTAACGATTTTGTATGTGGCATCTAAATCGATATGCCGGTTGATGCATGCCTTTAAAACTGAACCCGTTCGCATTGCCTTCGTATTGTCACAACAGTTACATCGAAGAGGAAACCGTCTGTGTTTCCTGAGAATTTTCTGGCGCACTGTCCACTGACATTTAAACTTCCAACTTCTCGGCAGTAGTCCTTCGTTTTCGCAATGCTGCACAGCTTATGGGAGTTTAGTATTTCAATTACCTCATCAATTTTCGCTGACATATGCTTCTGAGGTCGCCTACATTTTACCGTTTCTTCAGCCGGCCGTCTGTGTTTAGAAGATGGTTCACTTTACGGTTTATCACCATTTCCTACTATTAAAACTAATAATTATTAACAGATCTTAATGTTTACACATACGTAGACAAAGGGCTTTACTGTGCACATTTTCTTAAGTGCTGAAATCTTTGTTACATACCATAACTTCTTTCCAATACATACAGCCATATATCTACACGCAAACCACGCCTCGCTGTATTTCTAGACTTGACTTTTTTATTCTTTCCTATTGCCATTCAGCTTGCCTTGGTTGACTTCTATCTTGTTTTTGTTTTGCATTTTTGTAAACTCTTGTCAGAAATGCAGTTTCCGATTTTTGCTACAATCTGCGTTATTTACACTTTCCATTAACGACTGCGGCCAATTACTTTTGGTTGCGCGCACCACTGGATCTTGACCTTCAATTAGATAGGCAACAGCGGTTTATTCAGTTGACTGAAATTCCCTGACTGCCGTTTTTGGTAGTGTTTCGAATTTGTGCGCTTACCTACCGTTTACTTTCTCAGCGCATTAAAGGGTTCTTGATGCAGCGTCACCCTTTTCTCATTTTTATTTTCTCGAAAAACTTCAACGTGCGTCCGAAGGCCTCACCGGCAGAACCTCTATTACCACAATTTCCGTTAGACAGGCTCCTCATGTTATCTGTTGCTGACGCTGGGTATAAAGCATACCCTCGTCCAGACAGCCCATATCATACACAAGTTGCAAACCCCATCTTTAGAGTGTGCAAGTGGTGGGCACAAGGTACCTGCCAGTTCGTTTCAAGTCGAACCATGCAAATAAATACTGCACATAACGGCCCCTAACTGGCACCCGACTATCATCTGTGGCTCCAGGATATAGGTTCTGTCTACCGGTCACAACTCCGAAGAAGCGCCGATCAATAGGCTAAACCACATCAGGGCATCCGGTGCGGTGTCACCAACACCCGCAAATTCTGTTCCCACCACTCTCATTCCCTTACATCTTCCCCTCCTCCGTTCCAATTCAAAAAGACCTGAAATAATGTGATATGCGATCAGGAAGGCGGCCGAGGAAAAGTTGAGTCGTTCTGGATTGAACAAAGATGTAAGCCATAATTGGGTTCGGCAGGCGTTTAGGGGGTAAAACAGTTCTATTGAGGTTCATTACCCATTTGCGGCGGAGGGGGGGGGAGAGAAAAGAGGGAAACGATGCCCGAAACAAATGTCAAGATCACGTCATCTTCAAGCCGAACAAAGTTCCCGATGCAAAACAAACATTCAGGCAAAGTAAATGACATAAAACCGCCCTCATTTCCCAAATCACCACACAGGTTAGCAGACAAAGCCCGATATCAAGGGAGTTCTAGAACGTACAGAAATCTACAGAAACCATACAATAATCACGAACAGCTATTACGCAAGAATGGACGACGATAGTCTACCAGAGGGACTCTTCTACGGTGGTGTCGCCAAGCTTAGTCGCCGGCAAGGAGGACAAGACGACATAGCGTATTCAACAGCACTCCCATGCGCCTACAAATCAATTCGGAGACCTAGGAAGACCTCGCCCAGGATCGACCGGCCTGGAGCAGTGGAGACAGAAGCAGCAATCTACGAAACTAAACGTTTGCCGCTGCGAAAACCAGAAAAGTTGCTCGCAAGTTTCATGTGCCTCTGACCCACAACACCCACACTCAACCTCTCCCAACATGCACACGCTGCCAGCTAACATTTCGCGCAGAGATTGGCCTCGCAGACTTCTACATACCCAACGCAATAACAACCCGCCAACTCCGCCTGCTGCCTCCGCAAACGCCCTTATCACTTCCCCTGCACCAACCCCCACGGCGACCACGCCGACGACCGGTGATCCGACTCCGGATGCTCCGCCACCGTCGGTCACCCCGGCTGCATCCTCCGCGACGTCTACCACCTTTCCTACTCCCGCCCACGATGAGAACACTCCCGACTCCTCGTCAACCACTTGCCTCACCAGCAGCGTGGACTTGATCCCAACCTGTCCTCACTGTGATCGCGCATTCACCTCACACATCGGCCTGGTCGGTCACTCATGAATCCACCGCTCCGCGACCGCCGAACCAGTGTTAGGAGCATCGGCATACATCATCCCATCCACCATCACTCACCATATGAGCCTTTTCGATCGTAGGCGTATCCACGACAGCGGCATTCACCGCAATGTCATCACGTAAGCACAACTAACAACTCTCCCATCTCTCGCAATACCAACTCCCCATCTTCCTGCGCGACCACCACTAGCAGCATATCACCACCACAACCGATTCTGCAGACCTCAACCTATCTTGCCCACTCTGTCGCCGCACATTCACCGACCGCACGCATCGGCCTGGCCGGTCATCTGCGAATCCATCGCACAGAGACTGGCGAACCAGTACTTGAAACATCAACATACACCAGACGCCGTCGTCTCATTTGTCCGCATTGTCCTCGCGCATTCAGCCATCGCATGGGTCTATTTACTCATATACGCCTGCACGAGAACCTGTGGCGAACCACTGCAGACGTGACTACACCACCATACACTTTCCAATTACCACATGCTCCACGCAGGAACACCTCCAACACCCCCACACCACCGGCACATCTCTTTGGCTCCTTTCTCCACGTGCGATCCGAGAAGTCTACCCCTTGTGTGTGTGCGTATTGTGGGGCAGGTTGTGTGCGTAGCACGCTCAGGTGAGCTGTTCTCAGCTATGTCAGCCACCCTTCCCAAT